TGTCATGTGTTTGTGCTTTTTTCAGATATTTTGAAGAAAAATTATCAGCGTGCAATGTCCAACATCCAGATGCTTAGGACTAGAAAGTGCATTGTCTTGCTGGGGATTGACGCTACCAAAGTTGCAAGTCCTCACTTGTTTGGAGGAAAGACATTTGATCGGATAATTTACAACTTTCCCTTTGCTGGATTTTTCAAGAACTTATCTCGTGAGGCTACCCTAAGGTCAGTCAGTTATCATTATTTTTTTTATAATTCTTTCGGTTAATGACTTTGTTTTTTTACTAGTAAGATCATTTAAGACATCTTTTCTCTTTTTCTACAGAAAGCACAGAAGACTCGTGAGTTTGTTTCTTAAGAATGCAAAAGCGATAATAGGTGAAAATGGTGAAATTCACATTTCCCACAAAACCAATGCTTTTCATATAGAATGGAATTTAGAATCAATGGATTCTTCCCACGGGCTTAGACTCATTGGGGCTCCGGAATTCGATCAATCTGATTACAAAGATTATAACACAAAGCGTGGTTTTGGGGGTGACATGAATTTCAATTGTTACCCTAGTAAAACCTACAAGTTTGGTCTTAAAAGGGCACAAGTTCAGCTCCTAAGTTAGTTACTTTATTCTAAAGAAACAAAAAGAATACATTGACAATGTTATGTAAATATTATCATTAATTCGTGAGTGATTAAACAATGGGACAATGTTTGAATTTGGTTTAGTCTTCTAATTATGTCTAATGTGTTGAAAGTTGACCTATTTTGTGAGACCAAACCTTATCATCTAGTAAACAATTTGTATTTTAATTTGTAGAAAAGGTTTGGCCCATGTTTGGTGTGGATTGAAATTTTGATTTTAATTTAAGTCAAAGTGATCAATTAATCTTAGTCACAAATTATTGAGATCCACAATTTTTCAACCATACATTTTATCAATTTTTATGAAAATGTATTAAGATTTTGATTTTAATCCCCACCAAATGGGGGCTAAATAATTTTGTAGTCAATGGCTTGATATCTTATGATGTGCTATTCGAAGTAGCTTTGATATGTTGATAGAAGAGTTTTCGCTTTTTAGTGTAGAATTAAGCTCCTTTTTATCCCCTATTATTTCCCATTAAATAATAATTCACATTTCTCTCTCTTCTTATCAACCACAAATTTTACAATAAAATAATAGTGCACGTAAACCCAAATTTTTTAAATTCTTTTTTAACTACACATTCTAAACAAAGTTACTAAAGTTACTAATCCTTTCATTATAACGTGAAATAATGGGATCCAAACGAGCGCTAAATACATCACCCCTATTCATGCTTAAGGGGTTGAACTATTAATGGGACAAGAGACCTCGTTTGAGGTCAAGCCAAAAAAGAGCTAAACTAGTACAAAACATTCCAAGATGTAATGTTTGATATAGTCCTC